AAGACATTCCCAGATAAATAAAAGCTAAGTGAGTGCATCACCTCTAGACCTGTCTTATAAGAAATCCTATAGGGAGTTCACCAAATTGAAATGAAAGGACAATAACTCATGAAAACATAAAAGTATAAAATGCACCGGTAAGTGTAAATATATAATCAAATTCATAATTCCCTAATACTGTAATGGTGGCAAAATACTTTTATCTCCAGTAAAAAGTTAAAAGATAATAAAGATAATAGTATTATAAAGTAAATATTATTACATAATTTGTTAAAGGATGCACAATATAAAAAGATGCAAATTGTAACATTAATAGCACAAAATGTGGGGGAATTAAATGAGAATTTAAAATGTAGAGCTTTAGTATATGATTGAAGGTAGGTTATTATCAGCTTAAAATAGATTATTACAGGTGATGAGTATTAATACCAGGTGTTGTATGGAAGTGTCAATCACTGTATTGTACACCTGAAACTAACATTACACTGTATGTTAACTACTAGAAGTGCAAACAAAAAGTTAAAAAAATAAAAATAAAACTACTTTACAATCCAATAATCGCATGACTAGGTATTTACCCAAAGAATACAAAAATACTAGTTTAAAGGGATACACGCACCCTGATGTTTATTGAAGCATTATTTACGATAGCCAAGATATGGAATCAGCCTAAGTGTCCATCAAGTGATGAATGAATAAAGAAGTGGTATATATACATATATACAACAGAATATTATTCAGCCATAAAAAAGAATGAAATCTTGCCACTTGCAACAACAAGCTCAGCAAAATAAGTTAGACAGAGAAAGACAAATACCATATGTTTTCATTCTTATGTAGAATTTAAGAAACAAAACAAACAAGGAAAGGAGAAAATATAAGAGATAGTCAAAGCAAGAAACAGTCTTTTAATTATAGAAAACATACTGATGGTTATCAGAGAGGAAGTAGGTGGGGTTATGGGTTAAATAGGTGATGAAAATTAAGAAGTGCCCTTTTTGTGATGAGCCCAGGGTGATGTATGGAACTGTTGAATTACTACATTGTATACCTAAAACTATTATCACACACTGTATGTTAACTAACTGGAATTAAAATAAAAACTTAAAAAATAGACTATTATATCTATTATATCTATAAAATTTTTTATGTAAGCCTTATAACAATCACAAAGAAGAAACCTACAGTGGATACACAAAATATAAAGATAAACAAATTAAGGAATGGCACTACAAAAAATAAATCACAAAAGAAGAGAGTAAGAAAGGAATAAAGGAAAAAAAGAACTAAAACAAACAAACCAGGAAATGATTAACAAAATGGCAATAGAAAGTCCTTTTAACTATCAATAATTACTTTAAATGTAAACGGATTTTTTCCAATCAAATTTCTATTGTAGAACCCAACAATAAGCTGGCTATAGGAAACTCAAATTACCTTTATGGACATGCAAGGGCTGAAAGTATAGGGAAGAAAAAACTATTCTATGCAAATGGTAACCAAAAGTATAGCAGGGTTTGCTATACTTATGTAATATAAAACAGACTTTCAATTAAAACAATCACAAAAAAAAGGTCAAGAAAATATAACACTTGTAACTACACATGCATGAAATATTGGAATGCCTAAAAACTTAAGTAAATATTGACAGACCAAAGGGATAAACAGACAGCAATTCAATAATAGTAGAGGACTTCAATACCCTACTATTGACATTGGACAGAGCAATCAGAATGAAAATTAGTAAGAAAATAGCAGGCCTGAATAAAACTATAAACCAAATGGACCTTAAGGACATATATAGAACATTATGTCCAATAAGAACAAAATATTCTCAAGCACATGTGGAACATTCTCCAGGACAAAACATATGTTGGTCCACAAAGCAAGTTTTATGAAATTTAAGGAAACTGAAATAATATCTAATATCTTTTCCAAGCACAATGTTATGAAACTTCAGAGAAAAAAACTGAAAAATCCACAAAATGTACAATTCAACATCATACCTGAACTAATGGACCACAGAAGTAGGAAAAAAGGAAATCATAAAAAGTATCTTAAAATAAACAAAAACAGGGGCGCCTGGGTGGCGCAGTCGGTTAGGCGTCCGACTTCAGCCAGGTCACGATCTCGCGGTCCGTGAGTTCGAGCCCCGCGTCGGGCTCTGGGCTGATGGCTCAGAGCCTGGAGCCTGTTTCCGATTCTGTGTCTCCCTCTCTCTCTGCCCCTCCCCCGTTCATGCTCTGTCTCTCTCTGTCCCAAAAATAAATAAACGTTGGAAAAAAAAATTTTTTTTTAAATAAACAAAAACAAATACAAAAAACAACATACCAAAACATATGCGATATAGCAAAAGCAATTCTAAGAGGTAAGTTTACAGCAATAAATGCCTATATTAAAAAAAATCTCAAATAACCTAACTTTACCCCTAAAGGAATTAAAAAAGGAAAACAATCTAAGACCCAAGTTAGTAGAAGAAAGGAAATAAGAAAGATCAGAGCAGAAATAAATGAAATAGAGACCAGAGAGACAATAGGAAAATAATAAATTAAACCAAGAGATGGATTTTGAAAAGATAAACAAAATGGCAAAACTTTAGCTAGACTACTCAATAAAATAAAATTATGAAAGAAAAGAAGAGACACTGAAATTGATACCATAGAAATACAAAGTATCATTAGAGACTTCCATAACAATTATCCACCAACAAATTACATAACACTACAAGAAATGGATAAATTCCTAGAAACAGGCAATCTATCAAAACTGAATCAAGAAGAAATGGAAAACTTGAACAAAGTAATCACAACTAAAGATATTCAGTCTGTTATCAAACTTCCTAACAAATAAAAGAACAGGACTAGATGGTTTCACAGGTGAATTCTATGAAATATTTAAAGAATTAATGTTAATTTCTCTCAACTCCCCCAAAAATTAAAAAGGAAAGAACTCTCCCAAACTCATTTTACAAGGCCAGCTTTACTCTGATCCAAAGACAGACAAAGACACTAGAAGAAGAAGAAGAAGAAGAAGAAGAAGAAGAAGAAGAAGAAGAAGAA